CCCCAAAACCCCAAAACCCCAAAACCCCAAAACCCCTAATTTGTGTAAGCTCATTGGATACATTTAAACACAGATCAATTATGGACATAGCATTACTTTTGTTCTTGGATGGGTGTCTAAGTGAGCTTTCAACTTTTTCATCAAGTCTACTAGGTCTTTCCTTGTGTCCTTGATATCAAACAAGGTGAAGTTCTTCTTGTTTCTCTTACAGTGAAGGATAATATACTTCAATTGAGAGGAAAGATCAATTCCGTCCATTTCAAGCAACTTGAGGATCCTATTTGGAGTTCCTACAAATACATTGAGAAGCTTTGAGCTTGCTTTTCTAGGATGAGTTTTTGATAAACTTTTTAGTTGTTCAGCAGGCTTCATATGCTTTGAGAATAGTTTGAAAGACTTAATAGTATACCCAGCTTTGCCAAAATTAAGAGTTTCAATCTTCTTATGAAGATCAATAGCGAAATATCAATCTGGAGTGATAACAAGCACCTGAGGCTGATTATATTTTCTGCTTTCCGAATGTTTGCCTTCTTTAATTCATGATGCTATCATAAACCTCATTTGCTCTTCTAATTTAAGATCCTTATTCAATTTCTTAAGGTCATCTTTCTCGATTGGGACCTAAAATCTTAGCACTGTTGAATGGCTGGCTTACCTCTTCATCACTGGCTTCTTTGTCTTCTTCTTTATTGTCTTCTTCCTTTACTTTCTATTCATGGTCAGGTCAAGAATTTCAGAAGAAAAATTTCGTAGTGGCTAAGCCAGGATTTGGGTAAGGAATGAGCTTACCTTTATAACTTTGGGAATCACCATTTGTTTAACTGTGACTAAGTCTTCCAACTTTTCTTTACCCTCTTCCTTCTTCTCAGTACCCATAGACAAGCTATTAACAAGCTGGTACATCCTATTCTTGTCAAAATAGTTAAATTCCTTCTTCACGTCTTTCTTCTTGATCTTAAATTCCCTCTTAACACTAAGGATTACACATAAAGTTACCGCTCATTCTGCTTACGCCTAGCCTTGATGTCTCTCTTCTTAAAACCTTGTTTCTCTTCGTTTATTTGATCAAATTGTTTTTCCATAACACGACAATCAATTTTTATTTACCATCTGGGGTTTTGGGGTTTTGGGGTTTTGGGGTTTTGGGGTTTTGGGGTTTTGGGG